ATTGTAGTTCTAAAAACGATGGTCCCTCTATCTCTCCTCTCGGTATCGCACCAGCACACACACAAGGTGTGTGCTTTATGTTTCTCTGTTATTTTCTCCCCAGATTAGTAACACAAATAGATGAAGTGTGCAAGATGATGGGGTGGTTGTCGGAGGTTCGATTTATGTTTTGGATCTCCGTCACCTACGCTGCCGGATCTACAACACTGTCACCAGAATCATCTGACTCAGTGGTTCATCTGTGTAGAGCTGTTGGAGTCGTGAAAGGTGGTTCTAAAACAATCGGTGGTTCCATCTTCCCTAAACTCAACTGGACCTCCCCTAAATCATCCGATTCAATGGTTCATGATCTTTGCCACACTTATGATTTTTGTAGTAACTATAATGCTCCTAGACCTGATTGTTTCTTCCTTGCCCTCCGGAAATGGTACCCAGCTCTCCACCAGGAAATGGAATGGTCTTTGAATTTACCGATGGTGGTGTTGGTCAATGACAAAGAAGAAGGGCCATATATTTAATTAAACATTTTAACAGATTAATCATTAATAAATAATAAATAAATCAAAAAAAATAAATAAGGGCAAAATTGTCTTTTTATGTCCGAAGGGATGAAGCGTGTAAGCTTTATACGGACGATCCGAGTTAATTTTTGAAAATATGGACTGAACGTGTATTTTGACATCTGCACGAGGGACAATTTATGTAATTTACTCTAAAGAATAAGAATGTAGGGACTATTTTGTAAAGTGGATGATTAGGGGGTGGAAAGTGCCAACATACGAAAGTATAAGGGACCAAATTTGAAAACATAAGTAACTTTTATTGCCAAAGTTTGAAATAAAATACTTTTGTGGCAAAGCGGATGATTACGGGTGAAAAATGCCAACATATAAAAGTTTAGGGACCAAATTTACAAACATAAGAAAGTTTTGAGGCCAAAGTTTGAAATAAGAAATTCGTATGGCCAAAGTCTTAAAAGTTTTATGGCGAAAATCTCAAACACAAAATAAAGTTTTTTAAAGTTTGAAATAAGAAAATTTTCTGGCTAAAATCTAAAACCACAAAAAAATAAATAAATAAATCATTAGAAATTCATCTTTTCATATGTATAGTAACGAATAGAAAAAAGTTAAGAATATTTTATGTTAATATTTGAACTCGTCAATGTTTTATTCAAACTCATCGAGTTGACACGGATCAACAAACTAGTTAACTAGATAGGATCAATTTTATATAAGAATTAAATATCTACCGAACTCTTCCAACTTTTATGTGTTCATGCATGTGTTCAATAAGATTTTTTAGATAAACCGACTCTTTAAATGCTTCAACTATATAACTGATATTTCGTTTATCAAACAAGAAATTACGAAGTGCATGGCTTAACAGTAACTAAACATTTAAAATAATCAAATCATTTTAAAAATCAACACCTTATTCATCCATAAAAACAAATTCAGCTTTTGATTTGAATCAGTTAACAAAGTATTCAGTTACTTATTAATTAAAATTTTAAATTATATTTAAAAAAATATGGAGTAACTTATATTCTTATACTTAGAGGCGGAAAACGAATTAAATGGAAAAACTTATAAACATTAACTAAAAAACTAAAACATAACCAAAAATATGAAATTGTTCACGATTATTCTATCAGAAAAAGTTTAAAGTAGAAAACCACTTTCTCCCAGTTTCTAATTTAGTCACTGAAGTTTCAAAAAGACAAGATGGTCTTCTTGAAGGTCCATATATATGGTCGTACCCCTTATTTAACAAGATGATGACCTTCTCCGCCAACATATACTCTCAACTCATGACGAGTGGGAGACAAAACGCCCCCGCATTTAAAATGTTCATTATCATCGGTTTTTTTTCGGCTATCATCCCCGCTAACATTAAGATATGACCATCCTAATTTTTTGCACTTGTGGTCATTGTGTAAATACTAAATAGTTCATACTCTTTTGTTTTCGAGTATATTTAACAATAAATAATATTTCAAGAATATAATCGCCAGTATGTTTTAGACTTTTAGGTTATTTTGTATTGATATTGTTCTTATGAGTTTATGTTTTTTGTCGTAGTTGGAAACTTAGATCTCCGGAGCACACATGGAAACCGCTAGTTATAAAATAAATATTAAAAAAAAAAAACAAACTAAAATAAATATATTGTTTTCCTTGAAAATTAGATGGGAGTAGATTGCAAATTTAGAAGATGGGATCGAGGCATCGAGCAAGTCTTTTGAAGGCGACTTTTGTGGTGTAAACCCCGTCAACCAAGAACCTCCAATTTCTACCTCCGTTCCGACCACGGATAACTTTTTGTATTTTTCAATTGTACTATTTGTATTTATTAATAAATTTATTTTGACTATGTTTTGGAATAAAATTGATGTTATGTCAAATTCAAAATTCAGTTTGGTGGATACAGTCCAGAATCGTCTCTTGGTCCTGTTCAATTAATGTTTCTGTTCGTATTGTACGGGTCGATATCGTATGTTCATCCTACTAAGGTGACACAATAAATTCGAGTCAAAATAATATATATATATATATATATTATATATATATATATATATATATATATATATATATATATATATATATATATATATATATATATATATATATATTTTAAATATTAGGAAGGGATATATACACTAAAGTCCCAATATTTTCATCGATTTGATAAGAAAGTCCTAAACTTTATTTTTTTGACAATAAAGTCCAAATTACCGGCAATTTTTGACACTTTTATCCTTTTTTCCCGGTTAGTCGGTAATTAGGACTTTTTTGTCAAAAAAATAAGTTTAGGACTTTCTTGTCAAATCGTCAATTAGGACTTTACTGTCAAAAAAATAAAGTTTAGGACTTTCTTGTCAAATCGTTGAAAATATTGGGACTTTAGTGTATATACCTAGTCAAAAGGGTGTGAATGTGGAGAAGGAAAAGAATGACAATTTCGTTTTTTTCGGTTTCTTGTTTCTCCATTTTTGGGACTGCAAAAAGCCAATACAACCCTGGTTCTTTCTTTCTTTCTTGATTATCTCCATTTTTTTCAATGTCGGTTTGCTGAGATTAAAAAAACGATTTAGCAAGAAGCAAACATTAAGGATTTCAATAGGATCTACCTAACTAGAAATGTTTCAATAACTCTTATACTTAAAGAGTATCATACCATTAAATTTCTAACAAAAAAATGATATATACACTAAAGTCCCAATATTTTCAACGATTTGACAAAAAAGACCTAAACTTTATTTTTTTGACAGTAAAGTCCTAATTGACGATTTGACAAGAAAGTCCTAAACTTTATTTTTTTGACAAAAAAGTCCTAATTACCGGCTAACCGGGAAAAAAGGGTAAAAGTGTCAAAATTTGCCGGTAGTTTGGACTTTACTATCAAAAAAAATAAAGTTTAGGACTTTCTTGTTAAATCGATGAAAATATTGGGACTTTAGTGTATATATCCTTATTAGGAAATGAAATAATTATATACTTATTTTGAGGTAAAGAACTTTATATAAAATATAGATTATAGTAATGTCGTTCATTGTATAATTTTTCTGTTCAGTTACAAAAGTAAAAAAATAAAATAATAATCTTGTAAATAATTTATTCAGTTTGGTTGTTTAATTATAAGATTTATAACATAAATAACCTTATAGGTTGTTTTTCTTTTTGGATTAAACTCAAGTTTTTTTATTTTTTACTTTTTCTAAAACAGCTTTTATATTTTTCTAATTTTTTTTTCCGATTTTGACTCCTTTAACAAGTTTTTTTGATGATCTTTTAGTTTTACATAATTTTTTTTTCGAAAAAAACCTCATTATTATTATTTTTGAACGAACTCGATTCTTTTTGTAAAAAAATTGAAATTTTCCAAAAAAAAAAATTATTTGGACCAACATTTTTGTTTTGGCTCATAGTTATATGTTTTTTATGTTGTTTATGGTATTATTGATAAGTTTAACATTAAAAATCTAACATATACATTTGTTTTTCTTCAAAATAAAGAGAAATAATATTGTATCCGATTCTTGTTGGTAAAATGAATACCAAAGTCTATTTACAATATGTTATGAGATTGTAGCAGGTGAATAAAATTGGTCTAAGATAGTTATTTGATTCTTTAAACAAGCTAAGATATCAAACCATCTTAGACCATTGGTCTTCACCTGCTACAATTTTTAGACATCATGTAATTAAATTTTGATATGTATTTTGGCATCAAGAGTCGAACATGAGAATTATTATAGATCAAATCACATAAGTAGCTTTAGGACAAAACTGCAATATTGGTCCCTGTGGTATTCAAAAAACTTTGGATAGGGTCCAAAAAGTTTCCAACTTGCATAGAAGGTCCAAAATAAAACATTTTCGTGATTTTGGTAAAAAAAACTTGAAAAGACGATTATGCCATTTTATTTTCTTTTTGTATTTCTTAAATCTATATTAATACATTTACAATTTTAAAATAAAAATAAAAATATTAATCTACCCAACCATCCCCTACTTGTAACCCCTCCCCTTCTCTTTTTGGCTCTCTATCTCTCTCTCTCTCTCTCTCTCTAAACTTCCTTAATAAATAGTTGAAGTTACTCCAGTTTCTTTTCATAGATTGAAGACATGGGACGAGCGAAAGTACACATGGAACCCATCAACAACAACAAGAAGCGCAAATGCACATTCCAGAGACATAAAATTGCCTAATCAAGAAGGCTCTCAAACTCAAAACCCTGTGCGACGTCAATGTCTCCATGATCATCTACACCGATCAACAAGAACCAAAAATCTTCCGCGTAAAGTCAATGGTTTGATTGATCTTTATAAACAACATAAAAGTCTGGATCCTGGGAAGATTCGATATTTTGGTTTATCAGATACACATACCTGCGACTCAAAAAAAAAAAAAAAAAAACAACTGCAACTTAAAAAAACAAACCCACCCTCCCCTGTTTGAATCTTAAATTTACAAGCCCTAAATTTACAATATCCATGACAGTCAAGCCAAAATTGTGTTGGAATTCTTCTCTGGATCCGGCGAGACGTGGTGGTGGAGACGATATGATTAGGGGTGCTTGAACTGCCCGGGTCGACGGTGATAAGAACACGACTCTCTCAAAAAAACTTTACAATTTTACAGTTTTAACACTAACCTTTAATGAGAACCATGACCTATCCTAGATGACCCCGATACCCTCCGATCTGAAGCTGCTTCGGACATCGAAAACCATCTATTAACAGCCGGTTTCTTCTTTGTTGACCCTATCGGACTTGGGCAAAGGTTAGGGCTACGACTTGGGGTATAAATCGGAGTTGGAATCACCAATTTAATCTTAGTCGATCTCAGAGAAGATACTCGAGGTGAAGAAACACGAGGGGGGGAAGCATGAGGTGAAAAGATTGAAAATTCTTCACGAAGTGAAGTATTTGCGATGTTGTGTCTCTGATTTGTGGAAGATACAAGAAGATGGGTTGAAGATGAAGGGTGGGGAAGAAGATCGGAATAGAAAAGGTCGTGTGTGTCTGTATGTGTGTGTGTGTGTGTATGAGATAGAGAGAAAGAGAGAGAGAGAAAGAAAGAGAGAGAACGGTAGGTGGGGTGGGGATAATTTTTTTCTTTTTTATTTATGTTTTTAATTAAAATAGTATTAGAATAATTATAAAAAATACAAAAAAGAAAATAAAATTGCATAATCGTCTTTTCAAGTTTTTTTGGACCAAAATCATATAAATGTTTTGATTTTGAACCTTCCATGCAAGTTGGAAACTTTTTAGATCCTATCCAAAGTTTTTTGAATATGAGAAGGACCAATGTTGCAGTTTTGTCTAGCTTTAACTTGTAACTTTTATGAGTTTTTATCTTCTAGTTTTTATGTAATTTTATACGTTTTAAAAACTAAACTTCTTTTTTCAAACACTTTTGCACAAATTGTTTTTTACAACTTTCAACTTTTAGCTATCAACAACTTGTTTGTTAGTTTGATCAAACACGTCCATAAGGTCTTTTTATGTAATTAATCTTTTATTATATCATCAGCAAAATTTATGATTTTTAAAAATTAAATCAATGTTCTACGTTAACATTGGATAACTTTGGTCTCTATTGTTATCACTTCCGGGTTTTTTTTAACTAAAGATAGCAAAAAGGATGCATCATACAAGTTTGTCGAGTTGGGTAACATAAAAAAACATGTGTGTTTTTTAGTAAGCATATGAGCATGTTTAGCTATCAGCAGAAGAATGGCAGTTAAAAATCACAAGTTATAATTTTTATTTGTATACAAATATTTATAAAAGTAATTGTTAACTTTAAAATATAAAATTATATAAAACCAACAGTTAAAAGTTGGGATAATGTCATAAAAAGCCTTAATTTTGTAAAAAAAAAAGTCGGTTTTACCCTCCGGCGGGTTTTTGTGTCGTTAATGCCGCATACTTGTCTCAACTTTTGCGTTTATGCCAAATAACCGGTTGCAAGAGGGTTTACCGGTTACCCCTCTACTTACCCCTCAACTTTTCCCCCCCGTTTCTTAACCAACGAAGAAATTAACCCCGTTTTGGTAAACGTTAGACATAGAGCTCCACACCCTCTCTCCGAAGCGTCAACTCAATCTCAGTAAATCGTACTCTACTGAGAAAAATCTTGGGCTTTTGGAAGGGAATCATCACGAAATTTGGGTATTTGAAGAGGATTAGGTCTACACTGTTGGTATCGTTGTTCTAGCAAGAAGATAGTTGGGTGATAGTCTCGTTGAGTTGTTGAACCAGTAAGTATCTCAAATCCATGATTAAAGCAATTATCTATTTAAAATTCTTCGATTTTGTTTGTAAAATCTTTTTGATTTTGCAGGTAACTGTAATGGCTTCATCGGATGACGTTTTCAAAGAACTCTTTGCTAGTATATACGAGCCCTTCTCTGGACTAAATGAGATGGATTATGAGCTCCATGGTATTTATATGGATCACGAACCAGAGCATGAGTTCGTGACTGCGCTTGATAAATGTAGGGACGTCTTTCTCAATGTTCTACTTAGTGATGAAAACTTAAGGAATTCAAGCATGGCTGATGAAATCAGAGCACAAGTTTATCATGCTAATGAATGGCAAAGTGATGAAGAAGGTGAACAAGAGGCGGTGAAGAATAAGTACATAATTCATGATCCAAACACACCATGGGATAAGATGGAACCTAAGGTAGGTGATATGTTTGAGTCTCCTGCACAACTTAAGTTTTGTATTCAAATTTATGGGGTGTCAAATGGATATCAGATATACTTTGAAAAATGTGATAAAACTAGAATAGTTGCAAGATGTAGGAAGAGGACAGAGATGAATGATTGTCCTTTCAGATTGTATGCTGGATGGATGTACAATGAAAAATCATTTCAAGTTAAAAATTTGGTTGGAGAGCATCGTTGCAGTAGGAAGTTCAAATTTGGAAGTCTTGTTTCCCCTGAATGGATAGGTAGGCATTACATTACTGAAATTGTAAACACACCTAAGATGAAACTTAGGGACATGATTGTTAATATCAAAAAAAGGTTGAGATGTGTAGTATCCATTGGGCAAGTCCGTAGGGCAAAAAAATGGGCCACTGAGTTGATTGAAGGAAAACTAACTGAACATTATGCTAGGGTATGGGATTATGTTGATGAATTATTAAGGTCCAACCCAGGTTCAACATGCAAAGTTAGTGTCACTGTCAATCCAGATGGGAAGAACTACTTCCACAGATTTTACATAGGTTTCAAAGGTCTAAGTGATGGATGGAAATTAGGGTGTAGAAGAGTAATTGGTTTGGATGGATGCTTCCTGAAAGGACAGGTGAAGGGTGAGTTGTTGAATGCCATTGGTAGAGATGCTAATAACCAGGTATATCCTATAGCATGGGCTGTTGTTGATGTTGAAAACAAGCCTAACTGGACTTGGTTTATTGAGCTTCTTAGAGATAGTCTAGACCTTCATGATGGCAGAGGATTGGTGGTGATATCTGACCAACATAAGGTTTGTTTTCAATACTCCATTTTATATAAATGTTAATACAATTTAAAAGGGATGCATATTGACTTGAATGTTCTTGTCTTGTAGGGGATTGGTTGAAGCTGTAAAAGATATACTCCCAAATGTTGAGCACAGGCAATGTGCCAAGCATGTTTATGCCAATTTCAAGAAAGCATACACAGGGTTGGAGTTCAAGAAATTATTTTGGGCTACATCAATGAGTTGTGTAGAAAGTGACTTTATGAGGCACATGAAAACCATCAAGAAGTTGGGCCCATCTGCATATGAGTACTTGATGTCAAGACAACCAAAAACATGGTGTAGAGCTTATTTTGATAGGGGTTATGCGTGTGAAGCAGTTGAGAATGGAATCTCTGAGTGTTTCAACTCAATCATTGTTGATGCTAGGAAAAAACCCCTTATCACAATGCTTGAGGAAATCAGGATATATATAATGGACAGGTTTTCCCACATGACAGAGGAAAATGTTAAATGGAAATCAAATGTTTGTCCTGCTATACTTAGGATGGAGCCCTTTTTGCTAAATATTGTTGTCATTCCACCCACTAAATGCAGCATACATCCACTTGTTTTATGTTATAAACTTGGTTGCCTTTTTTGATAATTTATTTAGGCTTTTGGATACAATTGGATGGCTGCTACGTATTAGTGAAATGTAAAAAACCTTATGCAATTAATACACCCCCTTTTATTTGTGTTATGATGAATGTGTTATCCATTGTTGTCAATTTTTATTACCATATAAGAATCTTACTTTTCATTTATGTTATGTTGAATATGTTTACCAGTATTGTCAACTTTGATAACCATTTGTGCATCTTACTTCCCATTTGTGTTATGGTGAACATGTTTACCATTATTGGCACATTTGATTACCATTTTATGCATCTTACTTTGCATTTGTGTTCTGCTGAATGTGTAGTTACCATTTTCACAAAAGCATTCATAAAATAGATCATAGCCATACAAACTTTAATACTATTGCACCATTCAAACTTTTACAGATTCAGTACATCTACCAATGTAATAAACTACACTACAAAACTTGTTATCATTTCATCTAACTTACATCTTAATAACCACGACAACAAGACATACCAAAATACTCTCTAGCAGCCCTACAATCAGTTTGAGCAACATCACAGATTCGATATCTTTATGTTGAAGGTTCAATTGCTTCTTAAAAGCCCTAAATTCGTCTTCTTCTTCATCAACCCATTTGAAATGACCACAACCACCATCTTCATCCTACAAAAAGAAGAATAAAATTACATAAAGAAGGGACGATAGTAGAGAGAGCATAATTAGGGCAAACATCACAACAATTACTTGGTAATTAGGGCAGCCACGAAACTTTCGTCCTGGGTTTTCTGGAGTGCGTGAAACATAAATAGGGCAAATATCACCACAGCTACATCAGATTATCTCCCGATTTTTCCTTCTTGATGTGCCGCTCCAGCTTGAATTTGATTTCGACGTTGTCATTTGGTGTAGAAATCTGATTTTGTTTTCGTGATGTTCTTCTTCAAAAACCCAGCTTTGTCGTTTGGTAAATGGGGTTAAGAAACGGGGGGAAAAGTTGAGGGGTAAGTAGAGGGGTAACCGGTAAACCCTCTTGCAACCGGTTATTTGGCATAAACGCAAAAGTTGAGACAAGTATGCGACATTAACGACACAAAAACCCGCCGGAGGGTAAAACCGACTTTTTTTTACAAAATTAAGGCTTTTTATGACATTATCCCTTAAAAGTTTTCAAAAATTACTTAAAGTTGCTTGTGGATTAAAAGTTTTTAGTTTAAAATAAAATTTCAAAAATCCTCCGATTTTTTTTTCTTAATAGCTAAAACTTTCAAAAAAAAAAAACACTCCGCACCAATACTTTATGAACCTGTCAAAATATGTCAAGTCAAATATTCAAATATTATCGACCTATCAAAGGGCTTCTATTCTAATGATATCAGATGTTGCTCTCCCTGCTTGATGTTAGAAAAAAAATATATTATCGACCCGACTTGGGACGTTCTATTCTAAATATGAGTAAAAAGGTGAAGAATTAATAATTGTGTTGAAAGAAAACGATTATGGGGTTTTAAGTAGTATAAATAAATAAGTGTATTCGTTAAAACTCCTGAATTAAAGCATGAATAAGTGGCATTAATTCTTTTCTATGATGGAGATGCAATGAGAAAAAACCAACCAAAAACAAACAAAAGTTGGTGACTACGACAATTCTTTCCTAATGAAACGTGGTAATTTGATTTATTTATTTGTATAAACGGTCGAATTATTTTTTTTGTATATAAAATGATTAAGATAACTATTTCTCGTAATTATTTTAAAAAAAAAGCTAAATTGAGATTCCTCTAAATTTAGTTTTATATATTTATAGCGGACAACTACAATGTTTTGTTTTCATATTGTTCAACTGTTATATCCTCCCTCAAATACAGAGTTCTATTTTACAAGTGGGGTCTTGCATTGGAACATCATGCCGCCTAATGAGTCCCATCAAATTTGCGACCCCGACATGACTCCGGCCATACACGGGAACACCTCTCTTGCCTCTTCTTTTTCTTTTTTTGATTGTTTAAAAATGTTTTTTGATTGTTTTTTTTTAACTGCTACAAATACCTAATATATCTCTAAAATTTTTACATCAAACGTAATATTACTCTATATTTTAAAAAAAATTTGTTTATATAAGTATGAGAATTGAAAGATGGAATCATCTTCATCGTCATTTTAATCAGACCGTTGGTCGAGAGAGCACAACTCACAAAAATCGTAGGGAAATTGTCATAAAAGCCCTTAAGTTTTCCAAAAAGTGACGGTTTTACCCTTGGATGAGTTTTGGGGGCATTAAAGCCGGATATTTTCATTAAACCTATCAAATATCTCATTTAACAAGTTGGACCCTTTGTAGCCGGTTACCATGTGCTGATTTGGCACTATTGATATGCCAAACAACGTGGGCCCCAACCCTCTCCCCACATAACCCTTCCCCACCCCCTGTTTATTGCATCTTCTCGCACCGCAATATCCCACGCAAAATGCCAACATCTGCAAAATCAAGCTCGAATTCACATTCACGATTCAAGAAGAAGATCGAAGTGAAGTGTTGGTGTGAAGATTTATGCCCTGTGTTTGTTTCACGCACACCAGAAAATTCAGGCAAAAAATTTTGGGGGTGCCCTAATTATAAGGTAAAAATCATTTCCCCTTTTCTTTAGCAGGATTGCAGTAAGGGTATTATGCACTGACCTAATTATGTAGGGAGAAGGAGGTTGTGGGTTTTTCAGATGGGTTGACGATGAAGGAATTCAAAAGCAAGACATGATGCCAGAGTCAAATCGCATTACAGAGCAGCGACAAATGATGGCATTAATGCAGATGGTTGTTGTTTTGTTAGGGGCTATATTGTTCATCCTTGTTCTAGTGTTATGCAAGATTTAATGGCAATAAAGGGTGTTTTCTGAAGGGAACAGTAAAGGGTGGCTTTTCTGAAGGGAGCAGTATTGTGATTTTGAAATATGTAGCTTTTGAGCTTTTGATGGTATTTGATAGTTTGTTAGGTATATGTAATGTTAGGATTGTAATTTGTAATGTGTGGATGCTATTTGCAATGTATGGATGTTAATTTCTAATGTATGGATGTTAATGGATGTTAATTTCTAATGTATGGATGTTAACGGATGTTAATTTCTAATGTATGGATGTTAACTGGAATTCAAGTTGGTTTGCAATGTATGGATGTTAATTTCTAATGTATGGATGTTAACTGGAGTACAAGTTGGTTTGTTTTGTAAGTATATTGAATTAACAATTGGTAATTGGTATAAATTTCTGAATGGTAACAACTGGTGAATGGTAACATTTGGTTTGTTTTGTTTTAGATTGAATTAAAATGGTAATTGGTATAAATTTGTAGTACAAGTTGTTGAATGGTAACATTTGGTGAATGGTAACAAGTGTTTTGGTGAATGGTAACAATTCTAAAAGACTGAACAATTGGTGTGTATTTGCAAGTTTGAATGGTAACAATTGGTGTGTATTTGCAAGTTTGAATAACATTGCATAAAATGGTATATTGCAGAAATAATTAGTGAATGGTAACAATTCTAAAAGATTGAACATAATATAGAAGGGGGTGTATCCATTACATATAGTTTAATTACATACTACCAATATGTAGCAGCCATCCATTTGTACCAAAATGCCTAAACAATGCACAAAAAAGGCAACCTAAATGGTAAGAAAATTAACAATTGGATGCATGCTACAATCAAAATGCCAAAAAACAAAGTTTACAAAAGTGGCAACCTATACCATTCCCCCTACACCCCCATCCCCCTTCTTGCTAACAAACTACTCCAAGTTGATTGGCTTTACAGAAGAAGAACCACCACCATCTTTGTCATAGACACCCTTCCTTAGCTTTATCTTGGTAATCCTCTCAGAAGTTTTCCTTGTTCTCCTCCTAACCATTGGGACAACCTGATGTCCTTCATCATCACCCTGGTTTTCCTCACCATCATCAACATCTCCACCACCATGACCTTCTTCATCACCATCACCTTCAGGCCCATCACCATCATCAACATCTCCACCACCAGGACCCTTCTTCATCACCATCACCAACAACTTCATATCCAGCACCATGATCAGGTCCAGCATCCAGACCAACATCATCATCCATACCACCATCACCAGCAGCTTCATCTCTAGCACCTTCAGCTCCACCATCCATACCAACATCATCATCAAAATGATGACCATCAATGAAATCATTTACATCCTAGTGTAAAAAGATATAATTAGGTCACAAGAATCACTAGAAAATTTGTTAATTAATAAAAAATAATAGGTATTACCAGTTCAACTGGTAGGGGAATCATCCAATTCCACTTGTACCCCTGGATAGCTTCTATTTCTGCCATGCTATAACCGGCTTCTAGCATACTGGCAATTTCTTCAGGTCCTAATTGTATATTCTCTGGGGAGAATATCATCCTCTTTTCCCTCAGTAAACTCAATAAACTGATTATCTTCCACCTCATTGTCACCATTTAGTGGACTGGACTTTGTTTTGTTTGTGAAGTTAACCCCTTCTAAAATTGCATCAATACCTTGTTCAATTTCATCATTTATTGATTTAAGCTTCCTACCAATACTGGATCCTACTTGCCCAAAAGTGTCACTACCTTCCATCACACTTGCTTGACTACTTTCTCCTTCTTGCATCATATGACCATCTTGAATATGAATTACTGGAACTTCCTGCACAACACCTTCTTCCTGCACCACACCTTCTTCTAGAACTGGAACTTGTTGAACCACACTTTGACCCACATTATCACCCATCACATTTTCACCCTCATCAACAACTGGAACTTGTTGAACCACACTCTCTTGAGTACCTATAGTTGCAGAACCAATCCTCCCACCACCTCTCCTTGTGCACAACTTCTTCCTTGGTACATCAATACTATTTCTCCTAAATCTTTTAGAACCTGCCTGTTGCTGATGTTTTCTGGGACTCATCCTCAATGTGTTATGTTTTCTTGGACTCATCCTCACTGTGTTAGAGCATGAAGGTTGACTTGGGACATTTGGTTGACCAGGGCTTGTAGACACATGGGGGATGGGATGTTTTCTTGGCCTTCCTGTCTTCTTTGGTAGGGGAGGCACATATTGTTTTCTCTCATTCTTACATGCCCTCTTGTTATGACCATATTCCAAACAATTACCACATCTGGTAGTTCTTGCAACCTTCACTTTTGTTGTTGAAAACTTGCTCTCCTTCTCACTGGCATGCCTCTTTCTTTTGGTAGCAGGCCTACCAGGCATCCTCCTAGACATTGGAGGCAATGGCTTAATGTATTCAGTTTGGGCCCAAAGATTGCTGCCATTAACAGGTTCAATGTTTGTTGAGTAACATTGCCTAAATTTCTCTTTAGAGAAGTATGCATTGATGTATGCATCTGGTGTTTGATGGATAAAATTAATTGCTGCATTTGCATGCACACAAGGGATGCCAGCCAAATCCCACAGCCTACATGAACATGTCATATCATCTAAGTCCACCTTATAACTGTCACACCCTCTTTTGGCCTCAAACACATGCCCTTGACTATGAATTATTCCCCAGAACCTACAATCAAGTATCTAGTTAGTAACAATAATTAATGATTAAGATAAGTTTTAGAAAGCATAAAATATTACCTCATATTTTTCCCAAATCTATTCATTTTTTTCAAAATTTTTGGACAAACATTTGAATTCCAGTTTTCACTTTCCACATTCATGTAAGCAAACCTGTCCATGATATAAATCCGTATCTCTTCAAGCATAGTGATCAAAGGTTTTTTCCTAGCATCCAATATTATTGAGTTGAAGCACTCTGAGATCCCATTCTCAACTGCTTCACATGCATAGCATGTTCCAAAATAGGCTCTACACCATGTTTCTGGTTGCTTTGACATCAAGTATTCATATGCAGAAGGGCTGAATTTCTTGATGCTTTCCATATGCCTCTTGAAGTCACCTTCTGTGCAACTCATAGAGGCAGCCCAAAACAACTTCTTATACTCCACACCTGTGAAAGCCTTTCTAAAGTTGGCATAAATGTGTTGGATAAGGTGTCTAAGTCCATAACTATTTCTGGTATGTACTTGACCCGACCCGGCATGGTCCATTTGGGTTGCATGGCACCATGCAATTGGATAAACTAAAATGAGAGAAATAACACTTATGGTTTATTAATATATTATAAGTTCTAATATATTAATAATATTATTTAATTAGTTTGATCAAGAATTAATTTAGAATTAATTAAGTGATCAAAAGATAACTAATTAAATATATGGGTAGATTATGTAAATCTTCCATATCTTATATAGTGGGCTAAGAGGCTCCATGGATTATCAAGTTGGGTTCCACCCATAGGATGCTCCATGGGAGTTACAAACCCATGGGTCATGGAAATGAAGAGTCATGACACATTAGGGTTTACATGGTGTAACCCTAGATGTGTCAACACTATATAAGAAACCCATTCTCCACCAAAATAGGCTACACATAAGAAACAAGAGGGCTAGAGCCGATTTTGCAAGTGTAAGATTCTCTCAAAGTTTACTCCTTTGCATTTGGTGTTGTGTGAAGCATTTGAGGCATCACACTTGGGGTGCTAGGCTCACAAGGTTTCAAGGATCATAATCAACAACAAGGTAAGTTATTCTATCTTTCATTCAAGTAAAAAATGTTCCCCATGTATGCTAGATAGGAATATAACCTTGGAATTCAACTTTGCATGATTATTAGACAAACATAGATCCAAGGTTATTAGGGTTGCATGTACACTTAGGAAGTGTTAGAATGCTCAAAACCCATCAGTGGTATCAGAGCCTAGGTTTGTTTGTTGTTTTTTTTTTTGTTGCAACAGCTTGGTGTTTTAATTCTTGTGATGTTCTTGAACTTATGAAGATTAGATGATCATAGGAATTGTTTGTAACCTTCATGGTAGTTTAATTCATGATCATAATGTGTTTTAATGGAGTCCATAACTTGTCCTCAAGTTATGGAAAACCAAAAGTCTCACTTTTATTAAAGCCATTAAAAGAACACAAGATTATAAAAATGAAGAGTCTTCATTTTTATTACTCAATTAATTCATAAGTTATAAGAAATGAAAAGTTTTGGAAGTTTACAAAACTTGCCCTCAAGTTTTGGAACATGTAAAGTCTTGATTAAAACTTTAGTTCCAACCCTTAGAATTTTAAAAGTTAAAATTCAACCCTTATACTTTATAATATTATAAGTTACTAATATATATATGTATAACAACAAGTCGTCTTACCGCTAGTACGCCTCATTCACGAAGCCGGTCTATAAGGGGGGTATAAGGTTGTTGCCTATAAAATGGCAACTTAATGGGTGTCCACTCTCACCCACCGCTTCCTTGATCGGTGGGGTCGTTAGCCGAACGGGTAAGACAAGGACTTATAAATTCTCATTAAAAGTATGATGAATATTATAAAGTAACTAAATGCTTTTATTAAATTCCCAATCTTAGTTACTTTAGGAAAATGTGAATAAGGTGCTAATCCATGAAATTACACTTTACACTTTGTTTAAGTCGTTGGTGGAGCGTGTGTGGTTAACCGGCACACTAACTTGGACTTAACAAGGTAGGTAAAGGGTGACTTAAGGTTTACCATAGCATCGGTGGAGCGTGTGTGGTTACCGGCACATCGATTGAGTGATAAACCTTGAGGGTACCAAGTGATTTGCATGGTTACTTCACACCTCGTTTTGTGATCCTCGGTATCCCAGTCACAAAACTTGGAGGGCACACTCGAGATTGAAACATGCCTTTGAAAAGTTCATTGAATCTCAAAAGAATCTAGGAATTTCTAAGAACCAATTAAAAACCTAATATTTATATTTCGTTTTTCATGGTGGAAATTGGTGAATCGTCATTCACCTACCTTTCAAATATGTTATAGCTTGGATTACGGCATACCTCTTCTAAGTTATAATATATTGTGATTGGATCCTAGCCTTAATATTACATTTGGGTGTTTTATTAAGGACTCTCTTAATATCTAAACTAATCTTTCTCTTCTTTCAGATGTCTTCAAACAATGCTGCTTCTGGCTCTAATCCTAATGGCTCCTTTACCCTTATGAACTTGTGTGGGAAAGTCACTTTTGATGGATCCAACTTCAATGAATGGATCAGAAACATCAGGATGATTACCCGCTACGAGGACAAAGAATATGTCCTTGACAAGGAGCTTAAGGAGATTGATGAGACCACTGCAACTCCCCAGGAGATCGCTGACTTCCGGGCACATGAAAGGGATGCTACAAAAGTGGCATGCATCATGTTGGCCACCATGACAGCGGAACTCCAAAAGTCCTATGAGGACTTCTACCCTTTTGAAATGCACCAAGATCTGATGGAAAGATACCATCAAAGTGCACGACAAGAGAGGTATGAAATCATATGCTCTATCATAACAACCATGATGAAGGACGGGGAATCCGTCACGAGCCACATGCAGAAAATGCAAAGGTATGTGGATCGGTTGCTGAAGCTTAATGTGAACTTCCCTGAGGAGCTTGCAATAGATATCATTTTGCACTCCTTACCATCGTGCTATGATCAATTCCGCATGACATATCACATGAATAAGGAAGAGGTCACACTCAGCAAACTTCAGGGACTCCTCAAGACCGCAGAAACAGGTCTTAAGGGTAAGTCGGTTGTTAACACTCCTACTCCAAACTCCGCCCCGGTTTTGGCAATCGGGAAAGGTAGAGGGAAGAAGAGGAAGAGCTCTTCGAAGGGTACCAAGGCTAGGACCCTTGATGGCTCTTCTTCAAGTGGAACCAAGAAAGGTTTTGTCACTCCTTCTTCTGACCCTAAAGAGGCTGAATGCTTCTATTGCCATGAAAAGTCACATTGGAAGCGGAACTGCCCAAAGTACCAGCAAGATGTGAAGGATGGGAAAGTTAAACCCAACCATGCAGGTATTTACACTATCTTATCTAATAACTCACCCCATTCTAACTCTTGGGTCCTTGATACCGGTTGTGGTATTCATATCTGTTCTGATTTGCAGGGACTAAGAAGAAGTGAGAATGTGGAGCATGGAAGAATAAACTTAATCATGGGGAATAGGAAAGCTTTACCTGTCACCAAGATTGGAGTTTATACTTTATCGCTAAGTAGTGGGTTTAGTTTAGATTTGAATAAATGTTGTTATTCGCCAGAAATGGCAAGAAATATTATTTCCTTTCATGCATTGTATAAACAAGGTTTCACCTTTTCATTTGATAATGAAGTTGGTTCGATTAATGCTTTCTTTAATAATGTTCTTTATTTTAAAGCATTACCTTGTGATGGTGTGTATGAAACTGTATCTGTGGTTGATAACTTAGGAAATAATGTATTGTGTATTGATTCTGTTAATGATAATAACTTGGATAAAGCATCATTATGGCATTGTCGTCTTGGACATATAAGCAAGAAACGCATAGGCCAACTCCAAAAGGATGGAGTATTGGAGTCATTTGACCTAAAGTCAGATGATAGTTGCGAATCATGCTTACTTGGAAAAATGACAAAGTCACCCTTCACAGGTTCTTGTGAGAGGGGTGAAGGTTTGTTGGATCTTATACACACGGATGTGTGTGGGCCCTTCAAACATGCCACAAGGGATGCTAATCGTTATTATTTGACTTTTACTGATGATTACAGTAGATATGGATATGTCTACTTAATCAAGCATAAGTCAGAGACTTTTGAGAGGTTTAAAGAGTTTAAACAGGAAGTCGAGAATCAATTGGGCAGGAACATTAAGATGCTTCGATCCGATCGAGGTGGTGAGTATCTTAGTTCAGAGTTCCTCGACTATCTTAGGGAATGTGGGATTGTCTCACAATTGACACCTCCCAGGACACCGCAGTTGAATGGTGTAGCTGAGAGGCGTAATCGAACCTTGTTGGATATGGTTCGTTCCATGATGAGTCGAGCTTCGCTACCAATCTCATTTTGGGGGTATGCCTTAGAGACTGCCGCCCATATCCTTAATCTAGTTCCCACAAAGAAAGTTGCCAAAACTCCTCATGAGATGTGGACTGGTAAAGTACCCAAACTAGACCACATTAAGATTTGGGGTTGCGAGGCTTTCGTGAGACGCGAGACTCATGATAAGCTCGAACCTCGAAGTGAGAGGTGTATTTTCATCGGCTACCCACAGAAATCCTTTGGTTACCTCTTCTACAGACCTAGTGAGAATGTGGTCTTTGTAGCTAGGAGGGCTTTCTTTCGAGAGAGAGAGTTCATAAGCCAAGGAGACAGTGGGAGGCAAGTTGACCTTGAAGAAATTCAAGAGTCAAGTGGTGAAGGAACTTCAAACCCTAGCACTCAACTTGAGGAGGAAACTCCTGTTGAGCCAATTGACAAGTCTGTACCTCTGAGGCGTTCCACAAGGGTTAGGAATGCACCTGAGCATTACTATGGATTCCATATTACTGCGGAAGGTGATACACTTATCAGTGATGAGACACTGATAGGTCTGGATGAACCTAACAGTTACGCGGAAGCCATGGCAGGCCCTGAGTCAGCCAAGTGGAAAGAGGCAATGGACAGCGAGATACAGTCCATGTATGACAATCAAGTTTGGAACTTGGTTGAGAATGTACCAGGTCGTAAGACTGTAGGGTGCAAATGGATCTTCAAG